GGACTTTATAGCAGTAACTGCACGCATTGGGGTGGGGGGAAGAGGACATGACACTGTGAAGAGAAATCGGCAGCGTGATATGTATATTTATTTTATGTTAAACGCGTAAAATAAAATGTCCCCCGTGAGCTGGAGTGAACGCGCATCACTTGGCAGGGTCCGCCCCCCCCCCCCAGGCAATTGTCTTGAGTTGGTACAGTCAATTGTGCTGCTATAAGTAAATAATTAAAATAAGAATGCCACGAATTAGTTAGTTAAACGACTTTAAAGTTTACGGACGTAAAAACAGAATAGCCTATTCCCACCACGGGGCTTAGGGCGTGCGGCTGGCAAATTATTTCGTTCTTAAACCCCACCATCCGAGAGCCAAATCCCTCGCAAGCGCGCGTGGAGACTTTTATATATAAGGAGAAAAAAAGAGAAAGATCAACATGAATTCCATTTTATTATTTTTGAGATGACAAATATGGGGTCCGAATGTCGGTTTTGAATAAATTAGTCAACCCAAGTATATGAAGCACTCAATTATGTTGTTTATGATATCAGTAATAGGTGAAGATAATGAAACTGGATTTTTGTTTAAGGAAAATACCATGATTTTCACTTTTTCAGCATTTAGGAGCAATTTTAGTGTTGATAATAATTGATGTTGAATTAAATAAAAATCGTTGGAGATTTTGTTTGACTTCGCTAGGAGATTTACCTGATACTAGCATGAGCGTCATCAGCTCAGTCCAGTTTGTTAGATATTTCCCATGCGCACAATGAACCGTGAAAAAGTTATTGAACTCGTGCTTATTCAGCCCCTGCTGAACAAGATTCCCACGAAATGCTGCCAGTTTGGGTTGCAAGAAGCAAAGCTGCATCTGCTCTCTCGCTCCGGCATCATTTCCCGAACATCCGAGTAGCACGGTTGGCTACATATCGTGCGAATGAAGTTCAAAATACATACCTCATGTCAAGCAGAAAAAAATTTCACCCACCTCCACTTTGGGCTTTCAATGACCTCATCCCATTACCTCTTTGCATGTTGACTGCATATTTTTTTGGGGGGGTGCTCTTGAGTAACCTGGTTCTGCACAACAGCCACATGACTAATGGCTGCCTGATGCAGGCCTGCTAAGTGTGAAATACAGGTTTGTTTACATTTATTGTGTTTCAAAATACGTTGCAATTGCCATCGATCTACAGCGCCTCGTATCTTTATTTCTAATGTCCAACACACGTTTAACCGGCTGAAGAAAATGTATTTCCAATGCTTGTCCATGAGCATATTTATTTTATTTTTAAACATTCAACAACAGTGAGATCGATTAATTTCAAAGGCACTTTTAAATAATTGTTAAATCGTTATTCTACCAATACATGCAAGCATACGTAAGCGACATCAGACGTTTAAAATGGGGAGATTCTTTAACACCGAAATGATCAATTTAAGCTGATATAGGTGTATGGTGCTGCTTCTAGGTTACCTCGGCCTAAAATAATTACCCAACATTGTGTCCAGATGAGCATGCAAAAGATGGTAAACCCTAATGTGACCATACTGATCAACGTCTATAATGTCTGCGACAAGTACATCACATTTTCTCAACATAGAAATTCGCAATTCATCCATATTTGTAGTACGAGTAACTCTCGATTCCCTGTAGCAGTAAAAACACGCCAAAGTCTAGGTGGTGTTCTAACCACTCGTCTACACAGCTAAACTATAGCTGCATAGAATGTTAAAACAGCCTAATATTCATTGTTCAGTTTTATAAAGATCTGTGTCAGCAAATATTTTTTACGAATTTATTTGCAATCTACAAATAAAGTAATATATCTAAAAAAGCTTTACGATATACGATGAAAACTTAATAATTATCCGACAAATATGAATTGTATTTTTCCAATGAAAATTACAGGTATAATCTTTGGTTCTTTCGGTAAAGTCACGTAGAAAAACAAATAATAATAGAATACGACGTTTTTGTTGCAACACAAGCAACCGTCATCAGGTAAGAATTAATGATAAAACACAGACACGGAAACAACAAAGGCAGAGAGAGACACACACAAAGACACACCAAGACAAACAGAAGGACAACGACTCTGTGCCGAGGCCGTAAATAGAGAGACGGGGGGACGGGCCGCGGCAGAGAGAGGACTGCGGAGGCGGACAAACGAGTGGAGCAGTGTGGAATGCCAGACCACAGTGGCCGGAGGAGAGACAATGGTTTAGAGCAAGAAAATCGAAAGTTTGATAAAACAATTTTAGTAAAATTAAGAAGTGTAATGCAATGCAACACAGAGGCTTGGATTAACGCACAGTTAACGCATAGCCTTGTTGATTAACGTTCTCCCAAAGATTGCTAAATTAGAAGTAAAGTGTGAGTTGTGAGTAGACCCTCCCCGTAGCATGTGTGTCTACCTATGTTGTTGCTGTGTTTGTGTATGTCTCTCTCTGCATGTTGTTTGGCTGTGTTGTTTCCGTGTCTGTGTTTTATCATTCACTAGATGTACTACCCGGCTTCGCCCGGGTCTTGGATCCACGACGCTAGGCCGCCTTTGTCTCCCCAGTGGCGATGTTCATACGCCACAGCAGTTACTCGTTTTGAGGCTGAGTCGACCTAGGGGAGGCCCAGGACCGGTTCAAATAATCGTGACCGGTGGTGGCCGTGAGTGGGAATGGAACTCGGGTCTCCGGGTTCGTAGCGTGGCGCGCTAACCACGACACTACAATGCTGAATGGCCGTGTTGGGTGGTGGAGGGTTACAACACATTAATAAATAAGGCGATCGAAAGGCAATAACGTTGTTTATGATTAATGGTCGCGAAAGGCCACGTGTTACAAATTGACAAACTTTACTTAATAAGCAGGCTACAGTGTACATGATAGACTGCCAGTACACCCACCCAGCTGAATAAGCAGGCTGCAGTCTACATAATAGACGGGCAGTACGCTAAACCAGCTTAATGACTATTTGTACAAAGAACATTTAAAGAATCGATTATAATAACCAGGCTACAGTATACATTATAGACTGTCAGTACGCTCACCCAGCTTAATGAGTATTTGTACAGTCACCATTTAAAGAATAGATTATTGGCGCGTAGGGTTTGAAAGTAATACAAATTGCACACATTGTGTTGGGGGGGGAGTGAAGAGTACGTGAAACTTTGATGAATTTACCTCAGACTCGCGTGGTGGGTGTCGAGGCCTAGTAACGTGCAGAGCCTCCGGCCTCGCCTAAATTTCCCACCCGGCAGAGGCAGGGTACGGGTGGCGGTCCCCCCCCCCCCCCCCCCGCGCTACAATAATAGTGTCTAATCGCTATTATTTAATTATCTACGGAGCCTATAACAGTAATAGAACACATTGGGGTGGGAGGGGACTGAAGAGGACGTGAAACTGTGATGAATTAACGTCAGAGTCGCGTGTTAATGCGTGCGCCTATTTTTAACGGGAATTAAAAATGGCGAATGCGTCGCTAGCCGTTGGCAGGGGCAACCGCCGGACCAATCGTGTGTCGCAATGCAGGGGCAACCGCCGGACCAATCGTGTGTCGCAATGCAGGGGCAACCGCCGGACCAATCGTGTGTCGCAAATCCCTGACATTTCATCCAATGAAACTGCGTATGGTCCGGCGACACACAGACACACAGACAGAAAGACAGATTCACGATTTTATATATATAGATTCTTACCCGATGATGGTTGCTTGTATTGCAACCGAAACGTCGTATTTTATTATTATTTGATTTTATTTTCTACGTGACTTTACCGAAAGAAACCAAAAGTAATTCTTGCAGTCACTAAAGCTTAGACTCTAGTTACAATAATATCAGTTCTACCTAACATTCTAGCAAAGGCAGTTGTATGATTAACTGTTATTGAGCTATTCTTTGGTTCTTTCGGTTAAGTCACGCCTAAAGATAAAATAATAAATTAAAATAAAAGCATATTACGACGTTTCGATTGCAACACAAGCAATCATCATCAGGCAAAAAAAGAGATAGCAACAAAAAATCTAACTAGAAAACTATAGACAGACATACAAGCAGACAGACATCACACGGACACACAGAGAGAGGACACATATCGGCACAAAGAGAGGGGTCGTTTCTGTGACGGTCTCTTAAATATAGAGAGGGGGGCAGGGACGGAGAGAGGGAGGGGGCAGAGAAAATTAGCATATCAATGAGTGGCAAAGTGCTGCTGCTACTCTAGTAAGATGACGACGTGGCACGGCACGCAAGCTTGTAAATTAGGAGAAAGGCACACTAAAATTAAATAACCTCGCAAAATATCGAAATGTGTGAGAGTCGGTCAACACACAATTAACGCATAGCCTGGTTGATTACGTATCTCAAAGATTGCTAAGTTAGAGTTTAAGTGTGAAACTTCCAAAGAGAGGACACAAGGAGAGAGAACAAATAAACTCTAACTTAGCAATCTTTGAGATACGTAATCAACCAGGCTATGCGTTAATTGTGTGTTGACCGACTCTCTGTGTTGTATTACATCACATTTCGATATTTTGCGAGGTTATTTAATTTTAGTGTGCCTTTCTCCTAATTTACAAGCTTGCGTGCCGTGCCACGTCGTCATCTTACTAGAGTAGCAGCAGCACTTTGCCACTCATTGATATGCTAATTTTCTCTGCCCCCTCCCTCTCTCCGTCCCTGCCCCCCTCTCTATATTTAAGGGACCGTCACAGAAACGACCCCTCTCTTTGTGCCGATATGTGTCCTCTCTCTGTGTGTCCGTGTGATGTCTGTCTGCTTGTATGTCTGTCTATAGTTTTCTAGTTAGATTTTTTGTTGCTATCTCTTTTTTTGCCTGATGATGATTGCTTGTGTTGCAATCGAAACGTCGTAATATGCTTTTATTTTAATTTATTATTTTATCTTTAGACGTGACTTAACCGAAAGAACCAACGAATAATTCCTGCAGTCACGAAAGCTCCATAATTAAGATTGTTATTGAGCTTATGGCTGGACTCTTAAAATTGGGTTTAACTTATGGACGAAACTTTCAAAAACCTTGGGAATAGTCTTCTTATAAGGAATGTATGTTTACAGGACGTCATTATTCCTTTCCTTAGCTCTTTAGTGCGAAAAAAATATATAAATGCATTTGCCATGGGTATAGCAAGGATGCCGAACTGGAAAAAGCACCTTACGTTTCGGACTATGGGAGTTTTGAGATCTTGAATGTATCGAGCAATTAATGTGGAACCCAAGGTAGAGATGAAAAATATCAAGAGCGCCAAGAAGTGTGTCAGCAAAGTGTTCAAACCATGCTTGGTAATCTCAGCTGATCGTTTAATTCGACACTCAATGAAAATCTTGAAGTAGCTGTAGCTAATAAAAATAAGCGGTAAGAAAAACAACAACACCGTTAGCGCCGTCCCATATGCATTGCTAACCTTGATGTCTGATTCAGCCAATACAATGACGCCCATGTGATCACAAAATATCCCCTGGATTTTCCGATTGTCATCGCTGAAGTTTAGCGGCGTGACGAGCAGCGCGAGTGCCATGCAGGCTGGCGAGGCAATCACCCAAATCAGCACCAAGACTCCGAGCGTCTTCTTGGCTGTGACGATGGTGTGATAGCGCAGCGGGTGACAGATGGCCACGTAACGGTCAAAAGCCATGAGCGATAGCGTCAGCGACTCGAAATTGGCGAACACGTGAACGCAAAACATCTGCACGAGGCAAGACTCGTACAGGATTTTGGTGTCGCCCGTCAGCAGGATTTGCAGCTGCTTGGGCACGGAGCTGGTGCAGCCGATGATGTCGACCAACGCCATGTTTCCCAGGAACAAGTACATGGGCTTGTGCAGCTCCGGGCACATGAGCACCGCCACGAAGACCAGCAGGTTGGCTACAACTGTGATCACATAGAGAAGCAGGCAGAGGCCAAAGATGACCATTTGCATCGAGTAGGAGGCTTCGAACGTGGAGAGGTAGAATGCCGAGCTGCCGTTCTCCATTGCCGACGCCGAACGACAACTGGTGATAGAATTATATTCACATAAAATATTTATATTAGAAAGCGCAGATGGCAGGGATGTTTAAAATAAATGCTATGGTTTTATACAATACTTTCAGGTTGCGTATATGTTGGGGTAAAGTGTGGATACTCCTGCTTGGTTAGTTTGGAAGAGTAGGCCAATTGCCCTCTAGAGTTAAAAGACAACACGGTATATTAGCCTTGTTCACGTAATGAAGACAAATTGGAATCAAAACGATTAAAAAAGTGGGGGACAAGAGCAAGCAAAGGTTTGGAGTGCTCACGGAAAAATAAATAATTACTGAAAAGCAACGTAGCTAGACATGGATGAGAAACAAAGCAAGGAGGGGTTTCCTCGGTATCACAGCGAGATAGAGGAACGCTTGGACTGAATAACCAACGCAGGTTAGAGACGTCATGTCCACTGAAAAGATGGATTGATGAAAATTGGCTCAGGTGCAAGAGCTAAATAAATTTCGACATCAGACTGTTAGATTTGAAAACGGCTTGCAAAGTCGTTCATTCAGCAGTGCATGGATCATTCATAATGATGAGGATTATGCCGAGTAAGGGTGTGTGTACCTTAATTGTATTAAGTCAATTTACTCACCGTCAGAATTTTTATATGTAGTCTCATGCAGAAACTTTGCCAATCCAAATGGTTTTTATTCTACTTGCTAAGGCTTCACGGCGGTGAATTTCACAAACCAAAAAATGAAGCGCTTATTCAAATCTGATGACATGGACAATTATACATTGAACATGCATTTCTCAAAGTGAGTTTCTGAAATTTTCCATAATTAAGCATATTACGAATATTTTTGATAAGTAATATGGTAAATTTCACGTAAAATCAGACGTTGTTTTGGATACGTATTTTCTAGTCGTGTCACCGCATTTTATTGCAACGTAAAAACGCAAACTTGATTCCAAAATCTGTAACGTTTAGCTTAGAAGGAGGCGAGCGAGTGTGACAGAGAGTGCGAATTAAACACCCCCCAAGCCCAGGTGTATAAACTCACCGTGGTGCCACTGGATGTCTGCAGCAGAAAGCTCAGTGCGCCACGCGCCAACCCCCTCTTTTATACGTTTTGGGTATCACGTGTTCAATAATGCTCTCGTGGTTCCGTGCTCATTACGAACGTTCACATGGAGGGTTTGTGGCCAGGCGACTTCAAATTACAAGGGAATACTCTGCAGTCAGGCGTGGTGGCGCTTAGCCAATTAGGTTGAAAATCACTTGGGTTTCCACGGATATTTCACATCAGTTGATTTTTTTAACACGATCGAAGGTTGATGAATTAGGCGCACTCTCAGCCGCTGTTGACATTCCACTGCTGGATGAGGGCCTTTCCCACACCTTGTGAGTCACCGTGGAGTTTTTTGACCTCGCTGACCAGCTGGTCAGCACGGGTTGCGGGAAGGCAGAGAGTTTAGGCGTTGAAGCAGACGATTGCACAACCGTGTATTTTTCTGCACTGCGCTCTGCAGGCAACGTAGCCCCACCGCAGCCCTTCGCATCTGTTTTGTGTGCGGTGGTCACTCATCCAAGCACTATCACAAGCTCACCACTGCTTCGTTCGTTTCCAAGAAGTTATGAGTTGGATGCATTCTTGGGGATTGCTCATAGGCACGTTGGGAGTGATTTTGGGGTTTAATCAATGTTTCCAAAAATCAGAATGAATACAGCTATGATTAATGACTGGTTCACACACATGACCGAATCTGTTTATAAAGTTTGACTCTACATGTTGCGAGTGGCTGTAAAAGTCAGCAAAGGGACGATAGTGATATATGGATGCGTTACAATCTGGAAAACCAAGCCATTCAGTGTTAATTCACTTTTAATTTATATGCAACCAAATGCGTTACCCTTAAATGCTATTGATCAAAATCATAATAGTAAAATAAAGTATTTTTGTTGTTAAATATTGCTTTCTGAAATTGAGTAAATATTACAACCCTTTGTCAATTCACGGCTGGATGAAAACCCCTTCATGCCACGCCAGTTATGGTGGTTGTTTAACCATACTTCACCATTTAAATAAAAAAGTCACCTGGAATCCACCAGATCTTTTACAATTCTGGGAAAAGTTAAGCAGGCGTCAGCTTGGAATGTGATGTGATTGTTAGTTGTGAAACTCATTTCTCGTCCCCGTCAAGGTGCTTACCGTGGCTTTCGAAGAGAATGCAGAACAGAAATTGTGGACTCCCATCTCTTATATCTGTATGGGTTAGAGTGTTTGCTCCTTTGCATGTGTGAGTTATCTCTGAGTGCTCGAGTTTCCTCCCAAATGCACTTTAAAATCTCGATTGAACCTGGAATGAAGCCAGGATCTCAGTCTTATATCAATTGGGCACTCCAGCGGAGGTATTAGGTAACTACAGCCCCATCTCACTTTTTAGCACGAACTATAAACTCCTCTCCAAGATCTTCGCACATTTCATGGAAAGGGCCTTTCCGATGGCCATTGGCGAAGCGCAGACGGGACAACTCAGGAACAGAGACTTGGCCAACAACTCGAAGGCCCTGGTCAATACAGTAGAAATACCCACAAATGACAATCTATCTGTCGATGCCCTTACCCTAGATGATGAAAAAGCTTTTGACAGAGTGGAGAGGACCTTCCTATTCCGGGTTATGGATACATATGGCATCCCTTCTTCATTCACTGACATATACAGACTATTACATGCTAACCAATCAGCTATGCTGGTCACGAATGGCTTGGCATCCCCAATTTTTCACCCAAAGCCGAGCCATGAGGCAGGGTTTCCCCCTTCCCCCCACTATTATTTACTCAGGCCTTGGAGCCCTTCACTGTGGGTATCCAGAGTCGCTAACATATATCAGGGGTAAGTTGTGGAGCAATGGAGAATACAATTTACTTGTACGCCGATGATGTCCTCATCACCTTTAAGGATCCAAAGACTTCAATCCCCGCCATGCTGGCTCTGGTGGGGGGAGGTACGGGAGAGCGTCGGGGTACAAGCTAAACGCAGCTAAATTGGAACTAACGCCCCTGTTCCCTACTTCCCCGAAACCCCCAGAAGGTTGGATGCCCCTTTGAAGTGGTTCCCAACCCACATCAAATGCCAGGGAGTGACAATCCCCTCTTCTCTAACATCGTTCTTCAAATAGAATGTCCCCTCCTTGCTACATGAGATTGTCACCTTACTCGTGCCCCTTTCTCTCCACAACAGAGCTCATCTGGTTAAAATGATGGCTCTCCCAAAACCCCTACGCCACTTACGAATGGTTCCTTCCTAGATGCCAAGACCCTTCTTTAAAAAAAAACTCCACTCACATATTTCCTTAATCTGGAACCGTAAACTCGCGCGGATATATTTTATCACTCCCTTACCCTCCTTGCGAAGGCAAGTAGCATGGCTCTCCCTGACCTGTTCAAATACTGTAAAAGGTGGGAGGAGGGGTCTGTGAGTCCATGGTCCCTTTATAATAATTCCCTCTCATGGACCAAAGATATGCCCCTGAGCATCAAATCGGTGTGGACAGTTTCCTCTCCACTAGGGATATGTAGGGACAAAAATATTCCCCTCCCAACGCATTTTCTTAGAGTGTCCCTGCTATAGGATAACCCTCCGTTGAAAATTGGAGAAAGGAGATAAGTTGGCCCAGCTGGAAAGTGGCAGGACTGGAAAAAGTTGGTGACATCTTGTCCGAAGAAGGCAACTTGTTATCCTTTGGAACAGCTACAAGCAAGATACAACATTTACCCAGACACATTTATTTAGTACCTACAGATAAAGGACGTCATCACCAAAACCCCAGACAAGAACTTTGGCCATTCTGTATGCGTGATAATAGACTGGCTAGAGACACGGAAAGTCAATATAGTGCCTCGTGGACGGTGAGGGATTTCAGACTAGAACTACCACTAAAAAACTCTGGAATAAACATCTGGGCCAAGATATCCCCCAGCGTAACTGGATCCAAATCTGGCGGGCCCCTTTCTCTGGCCCAAGATCGCTACCACTAATCTCATCCAATTCAAATTTATGCACGGCACCTATTTGACCAATGAGAAGAGAGCCAAGTTCATAGACGCCTCTCCAGACTGCCCTCGATGCCCTCCTCACACGGTTCAGATGTACCTTCATGCCTTTTGGTCATATATAGACATTTGACTCAGATATAAGGAACGTTTTTTTACAATATCTGTGGTACTAGACAGCTCCTCAATTGAATCAACCCTGTGGGGTCTGAAACCAAACGGTGTATCAAAACACCAGTTAGGCATTACCGTCAGAAATTTTTGCATAACCATGCCATTGAAATCGCTCACAGCAATTACTGCAATTCAATCAAAACATATAACAAGGCTGTAAAACAAGGCTAACTTAAGGCCATGTGCATACTCGTGTGTAAGGCATGTTGAACTTCTTTCGTACCGTACACAGCCAATCATGCTAATCGGAGGTGCACTGGTTATACGCGGATTGTAAGAGCATTATCGTGCCAACATTATCTTGTGCCTCATGATATTTAACATTTCAAATAATCACCGCAAATACCACTATCATAATGTTAACTAAACATTACTGTTACGTTTATCTGGCGGCTTTGGGAGCGAGGGGTTGCCGGATTTTCACGTAATAATTTCAAATAGCTTATTTTTGCACATTCTTGTACATTGTAGGGGTGTTTATATTTGTTTACGAAATGAAATGGGCATAATAGACATATAAATAGACAAAAATAAATATCCTACTTTAAAAAGTTACCTATTTACTGTGTCGTACTTACCACTGCAATATCGAAGACTCTACATGGGGTGATGTACATACGTGCAGTATTTTCTTTGTTTCATTTGTATGTAGTGTATAATGTACTGTATATATCATATTTAACACCAAAATCAAGGACACCTAGTCTTTTGTCACGCACATGGCGCCGATCACCGGATTGGTTGCGGCCTTCGGAACGGTTTTGCCGGTTTCGCCGGATCGGCCTGGGAC